TAGTCCTTCAACGAACCCCAAACTTACAATTTGTAAAAATCTAATCGTTTAGCTACAATACTCCGTGTCGTATGTGGTGAACAACCCTGTATAAAAGTAGGACAAAAAAACCTTAACGTTTTCTTGAAAATCGTAGGCTATGATAAAGAATATTTAAAAGGGTCGTACAGTTTAATATGAGAGTTTCACCTATAATTTTTGATATTCTCGTACTGTTGCTTATTTGCATTGTTTTCATGTAACAAATACATTTTAATTAAATATTACATAGGAAGACTTACAAAAATAATAAGTCTAAACGAGATTTCGTTGTTGAAAAAATACTTTTTCTGGTAAGATTCATTCCTAAGAAAGCAAAAGAAGCCACAATAGATCTGAATTTTCTTTCGTTTTTCATTGTGGTTTTTCTTTCTCCGGTTGGGTTTCTTTTATTGCATTTCCTTTATTGTGGGATTTCTTTCGTAATAACGCTTTTTGTTGGGGCAACTGTTTACTGTAACGAAGCACACAAACCTCCATAGTACACGTGTATTAGCTTAACAATGTAAATAAGAAAAATGGATGTCTTTTTATATCCAATAATTGGCTTTTTTGTACAGTGTTAAATAGGGAGATATGTGTATTTTTTTAATTGCACTTAAATATTTTCAAAGATTTTGATAAAAATATGCATAAAATATTGGAAATATGCAAATATAAATTAACTCTGTATCTGTCTTTTTTCATTACTTTATCATTTTTTCGAAGAAAAATTTATGTTTATTAATTTAAAAAAAATAAATAAAAATTCCCAAATTAATAATTTCAGACAAATAACTATCTAATCAACATATGTTTATCTTTTGTCAATAATGACAAGTATTAACTATTTCCATTCTAAATATCTTGAGAACGGTTCCTCGTAGAAATTTTTACCAAGAGACATTTTCCTGAGGTAACGTCAATATTTAGATGAAAATTGGTGTCTGGGAGATATTTGACATGAAAAATTTGATTTTGATGTCAATATGGCTCCTATTTGTAGGGGGTGCCAACTACATGTGTTTTAACTGTTTTGAAGAGTAATAACTTTTCGTCCGTACCTGTATAAAACTACTGTTTGACCAGCGGATCTGAAGCTACGGAAGGAATGCGAGAAAAACAAAATCGACATTGCCACGTTTATCTATAAAATTGCAAAATTGCGAGACATGAACTATAAATTTAATATATTTTTATTATATATAATGTGTTTAGCGTATATTCTGACGAATATTACTAAGGAATTTTAACGTAGTTCATATTGTTCGATATGTTTTATTTAATAACTTATTTCTTTCATTCTGTATAATCTGCTTATTATGAAAGTTGAAGATTTTTCAACGATATCATTGGCAAACCGGCATCGCCGCACATGGCCGCCTTTTCATCGAACATGATTGGCGAGAGTACGTCACAGGATTTGTTACCACGCGGTTGCCATGGCTTTTACGCCTTTCCTATTCGCTTGCTTTATCCCCAACTTCACGGTCTCTTCTGAAAAGAGTAGGAATATTGAAGACTATTGAAATATCCAGTGGCGGTATCATTCTTTTGATCATTATTACTTTATTTCATTATTTTATACCGGTTATCCTAAACTTTATTCTTATATTTTTCGTATATTTGATAGTTGTGTTTTATTGTTTTGTTATCTTGTTATAATGTTTTTCGTTCGTAGTTTTTAATTATTAATATCAAGTTTGATCGTATATTTGTGTTTTAAAATGAATAAATTTGTTAAGGGTAAGACGCTACATAGCCAGACAAGAGAAATAATAGCTTATTTATATAGGTAAGTGGAATAATAATAATATAATTAGAGTATTAAAATTAAATATTGACTAAAATGAAAAGCACACATTTTACCTAAATATTTTAGCTAAACTAAAATAAATATAAATAAACGTGGATGAAATCTCATTTGGTTTATTTCCTTGTGTTCATAATAGGGTTTGCGACGAAGAAGCTACAGAGAGTTCGCTTAAGTTGCCGCTTAAACGTAAACTTGAGCGGATATTTCTTTATACCGGAGTTAGCGTATCGGCGATAAAAAAATTCACACAGAAGATAAAAAAAAGGCTGGAAACTAACCCCGATAAAATGATATCCAGCCCTGGAAATAAACGACCACGTGAGACTGCTGTTGAAACGCTCGACGACTTTTTCCAAGTGGTCAGGAATTTAATAAATAGATTTTATCTCGAATTCAAACTCGTCCCCACAATTAGAAAGCTTTTGCAAAAATTACAGGAAGAATCGAATTTTCCTTTGGCAGGGAAACGCTAAGGGGGTTATTAAAATCAAATGAATTTTTTTGGCGTAAATGTCAAAATAACAGATAAATATTAATGGAGGGGCCCATTAAATTGCAGAGAGAGATATAAATATATACGCGAAATTCGAAAATATAGCCAAGTATTATCTATTTGGATGAAACATATGGGTAGACAATGACCTAACCTTTAAAAAGTGCTGGCGGAGCGATACCATATCTGGTGTAATAGGCAATATTGGATCTACTGGTGAGTAAAATTATGTTTTGTTTGCGCTTCCAAAGTTAACTATTTTCTAGATTTTTTTTTTGCTGGAAATAGTTATATCTAAAATTATGTATTATAGAAAAAAATATAGTTAGTACAGATATATAAATAACTACACCTCAAGACTCAGTCTTGATCATCTGCTGATGGCAGACATGGTTAGCGAAACGTGCGTCCAGTGTAATATTAAAAGTGTTTTGGTGTATTGTACTGATTTAGTGTTTTATTTTGCTGTGTAAGACCAAAGGTTCCAACCCCCAGCTGTAATTATTTCTTCTATTATATTAACAACACATAATAATAAAATGATTCAAAATATTTAAGGGAGCTTTAATAAAAGCTTTAAGTGTTTATCTGCTAACTCAACAGTAACGAGTCAAACAGCATAAAGTTTTTTGAAAAAAATATTAATCTGGATATTATATTTATGATACACATTATTTTCATAAAACACCGTACGCCCATGCCTATTTTATGAATGAAATTGGGCGTGTTTTGTTTACAACTGCGTTCCCCTGCCGATACCCCGTAGCTACAGATCCGTTGGTCACACTATACTGAGTGAAAAAATGTTCATTTCCGTGATTTTTTACTTAAAAATGTCTCTTGGTAAAAATCTCTACGGGCAACCGTTGTCAAGATTCCATTGTCCAACCGTTGTCAATGTTCCATTCTAAATTGGAAATAGTCAATACATGTCATTATTGACAAAAGATAAACATATGTTGAGTAGATAGTTATTTGACTGAAATTATTAATTTGGGAATTTTTAATTTTTTTTTAAATTAATCATAAATTTTTCGTCAAAAAAAATGATGAAAAAAAAGTTTTTGTTGAACTTTTGGCACAAAATCATTTCGAATTTATGATTTCAGTCTAATAACTATTTAATCACGATGTTTAATTTATGCCAATGATGAGAGGTAATTATAATTTCGATTCCAAATATCTCGAGAACCATTACTCGTAGCGACTTTTACCAAGAGACCTTTTTTACGTAAAAAACTTGGTGAATGTTTATTTTTTTAACTCAATAGTTTTATACAGGTACCGACGAAAATTTATTACTCTTCAAAACGGCTAAAACACGTGTAGGTGGCGCCCTCTACAAGTGGGATAAAAATTGACATCAAAATCAAATTTGTCATATCAAAAAACTCCTCGACACCAATTTTCATCTAAATATTGACGTTACTTCAGAAATTATTTGGAAAAAATCGAAATCAAATGAACTTTCTACACCCTGTATCTCTGAAACTAAGCATTTTAGAACATACATTTATTCGAACTTTTTTACTTATTTTTATCTGCACAATATGCTGCCAAAGTTTCCGGAATACTGTTCGGGCCACCCTGTATATAAAAAAGTTATAGAATATTAGGCAGAGTGAAAAATAAAGTAAAAAATAGGGTGTTGTATTTAAAACAACATAAATATGTTATATCCGCCACACTTGTTTGAAGCACCCTGTATGTATCATAATAATTTCAGAATGTGTATCTTATCCTTCCATATACCGGGTGCGTCTCAAAAGTGGCTTATTCCTATAACTTTTTTATTTTTTCAGATAAAAAAACGAGATTTGGTATGTTAGTATATGACATAAATTAGGATTGATTGACATATTCATTTGTTTTTGGTCACTTCCCGTTTCATCGGAAATGACTACAACTTTTGATTTTTAAATGGCATTCTCGGTATTTTTTTACTTTATTCCATAGAAAATGACATTCTGAATAGAATGACATATCATATGTCAACTTTTGACGTTCTAGCTTTATAAAAAATCGTATTTTAAAAATAAATCTAGAGTGCCATGGCTATGTTATAAACACTAATTTGATTAAGGAGCATTGGAAAAATAGATTTGATCGTCTAATGTTTTTAGTGTCTTGTCCTGGCCAGTTAGAAAATGCTCAAATCGTATTTTTAATCATATCTCAATTTTTTCAAATGGAACGAGGGCGGCTCATTATCATATTTGGAATAAGCATTTTTTTACGGATAATTTGATACCACACTCTTGGTATTTCGAGTAAAATTTTCGTTACGAACCGCAAGTTATAATTTCAAATAAATCATATGCGAAAATGTCAAAAGTTGGCATATGATATGTCATTCTATTCAGTGTGTTATTTTCTATCGAATAAAGTAAAAAGTGACCGAAAACAATTGAATACGTCAATCAAACCTAATTTATGTCATATACTTACATACAAAATCTCGTTTTTTATCTGAAAAAATAAAAATATTATAGGGGTGAGCCACTTTTGAGGCGCAACCGGTATAGAGAAATATTAAATTATTCAAACATAATATATCCAAACATTCGCAAAATACAAGCACCGATCCATCAACACTTAGCACATATAGCTTCACTACCTAATTAAGATATACCTCCACCTATACGTAACTATTATTATCGTCGTTGCAATTACCTGTGACAGGGCCTGGCATAATGCTTCCTGCAGAGGGCGGCGAGGACCAGGCACACCCCCGTCGCCAGGATTCCTGCGGTGCCGAGCAGGCCCATAATCAGCGGGCTGACCGGCATGCTGGCCGTGGCGCCTGAAATTGTACAAATATTTTCTCGTTAGATTCAAAGCTGGATGGTTTGGGGGGGAGGGTATTAATGTTTAAATTGCTTTGCTCGGGGTTTGCTGGAAATGATGTCAAAGTCTTTGTGGCTTTATTATGTCTTTATCTAGTGACAACGGTATAAAAAATAGTAAAATTATGCTTAGGTCAACGGTACAGCTACGTCAAAGCACCGGTTCCTAATAGACAGAGCCGCAAACTCACAGAAATCTCTTTTTTTGATTTATAGTTTTTTTTATACAAGGCGATAAAATGGTATTTTATCGTCGACCGAAAAGATTAATTCTCGAGCGATGAAATCGCGAGTGAATTAATTTCGTGAGGCGATAATGCAATTTTATCGTCGTGTATAAAACAATATTTTTTTCCATAGCGAGTTACGTTTTAAAAAATATCCAGAAATTATTATTTCAAGGAATTTATTACGAGTAGAAAAAATATTGTGCTATGTTGGCGTTGCATGGTTTCTATGTAACTTGACAAATAAATAAAGCTGTCTCTTTAGTTGTCAGTTTTGAGTCAATATTTTCTAATTCTCTTCCGTGTCGATTGCTGACTGAATTGGAGCCAGAAATGGCTCAAAACGAAATAAGTAAATTACCAACAGATATTCAGGCTGAGACGACAAACGCCATATCCAAACTACTTCCATTTAAATCCCGAATAAATTATGAAAAGGAATACAAAAATTTTATTTTCAAAAATGGAATCAATTAAAAAAAGTGATCATAAAAAACATCATCATTTTCAGCTTCATCATCATTTCAGCCATTTCTAGTTATGGCGTAGCCTCCCTCACATTTAGATACTCTCTTTGTAGTTGTAGTTCAACCCACTAAGAGAGGTGGATGTCACCCTTACAATCTTAAATAGGAATGGGGGTAAAGTGGAACATCGTTTTAAAGAGCGTTTTGTTCTCTTTTCAGTGGTATCCTACTTTGTCGCTTTTTGTCCAGAGGTTTCCGAATAATCCCGTTTCAAAGTTGCAAATTACAATTAAACATGCCTGCATTGAGGTTTTGGTTTTCAGGCTAGTGTTTGCACAAAAATTATTGCAATTGGTCTCCTTGTAGTACAAATGATTAGAAAATTAGGTGGCAACATGGAGGTAGCCTTTACATTTTTCTTGGGGGGTCGAAATATTAATAAACAGAAAACATCATAAACATTAACATTTTTTTTCTCAAATTCGAATGAGTGTCAACTTCCAGGGGAGGCATAATACAAAAATAAATATGTTCAAAAAAAACATATTCAGCAAATTTAAAATATGTAGCCAAAACAAGAATATTACTATTGTTAATTCGCTTATGCTTGTTGGGCTGTTCAGTGATAACTTTTATTAAGTGCATAAAGTGTGAGAATGTTTTATTCTATTCAAGACATAACTGAAATTATTTTTATTTATGGAGAGGTTGGAAAGTGCTCACGAATGACGGCATTAGTTTTCAGTGAAATAAATCAAAATCGTGAAGTCACAGATATGTGCTGGATTTGTTGGCAAAGTTCTCCCAAACTGATTCGGTGAGTAATAGAAAAAAAATAACCTATACGAGTGATGAATGAAGGAGCTCAAATTAAGGTTTTGGGATTATTTGCTGCAGAGCCCACCAGCTCCTTGCGGACAGTAGCACAACAGACAGAAATATCACACAAGAGTGTAAGAAAAATACTGAAAATGATAGATACATCAAGAACCCCATGACGATGATTTTGACAGAAGAATAGAGTTTTGTGAAATCATGGGTCGTCAAGTCAACGCCAACCCTAACATTCTGCCGAATATCTGTTTTTCCGTATAATGTTAATTTCTTCTAAATGGAAATGTTAACAAGCAAAATTGTCGCTATTGGAGTGACGAAAACCCGCATATTTTTCGAGAAGGACATACACAATATCACCAAAAATGTCACCAATTAATGTTTGAGCTGGTATTATTGGAAATGTTCCTTTATTTATTGAAGGAAACTTGACGGGTGATCTGTATCTTAATATGCTTCAAAAGACTATTGATCCTCTTATCACCCAAGAGCTAGAAACTCAAATTGATGCAGAGGTTAATCTAGTTTTACAGAAGGATTTGTTAACATTTCAGCAGGAATGGGCTCCACCTTATTATTTTTTTCCAGTCCGACAGTAGCCAAACGAAAGATTTGAATGGCCTCCAAGATTACCGGATTTAACACCCTTAGACTTCTTTTTTAGGGCCATCTGTAACGTTTTTAGTTCGTTACATGTCTTTTTTATATATAATATATGATGTCTGGCGTATCGTCACCGGATCCCGTATCGATCAGGCCTGATATTTTATTTGAAACGTTTGGCGTAATTTTTACGTTCTCTAGTCAACAACCCTGTTATCGTTTCACTGCTTCTGTGGAGCGCTGTCAACATCGCTCCAAGGTTTTGCTCTCCGCACTTAACCTCACTTTTTGGTTTGGCCGGTTTGCGGCAGGGTCGCAAACCCGACTTTTAGAAATGGTAATTTAAATCTCGCTGCAAAATCTGAATCAGTTGCCATTTCGAAGCTACAGGGTAGAGTTTTGTATTGGCCCACCTCAACTCGTATTTGGTGTTTGCTGACACGTTAGTTTTCTTTTGCCCTCAGAATGTTAAATGGAAGAAAGGACAGTTTCTTTGTTTATTATTGAGCCCTCGGAAGTAATTCGAGGTAGGTTTATTGTGTTTATTATATCTGGGCAGATTTTAAACACGAGTTTCGTATTTTTAGGGTGTTCTGGTTGGATGTCCAAGTTACGGACATTATCCTATGGTTGGATGTCCAAGATACGGACAGTATCCAAGGTACGGGCATTATCCAAGGTCCTAGTAGTGTTCCAAGGTACGGGTAGTGTTCCCATGTATAGTTTTCCTATGGACAGGTTGTGATTTTTCCAATGGACGAGTGTCCACTGTACGCATAGTTTATCCTATGTACAGAGTGCCCCAGCGTGGATGTGGCGTAGACCCCATGCTGCTTCGTTCCTGTTTTTAAGCCTAGTCGATAGTTACGGCTGTATTGGTCCCTAGCCCCTTTTGTTGCATTGGCCGAGAGAGAGTACATAGATACGAGTCCCACCTCACGTTGCTACTCTTTGAAACAGGATTGCTTCAAGAACGAACAGCTAAGTTTAGATTTAAGTTCTGGTTTTATGTTTTACATTTAGATTTTCAGTCTTTAAACACTAAAGTGCATCTTGAACAATATCGTACAGACTTTATGTTTAGTGGTTAATTTTTTTATGTCAGATTAGTATTTGAAATATGATGTAGATCTTAGTTTCTTTGCGAACATTACGTTTTGTAATAGTATTACTTTCTATATATATATATATATATATATATATATATATATTATTGTGTCATTTTGACAGATGAATAACCGAACAGTTTCTAGAATCTACTGGTTGCAACATCTTAGATTTTATGTCGTATAAAATTTAACAAATTAATTCAAGTAATGCTACCTTTTTTATATTTTCTATAGCTTTATCTATATTGTATTTTCCATAGTTGTCTATGGAAACCATAGATTTAGGAAGAACAGATATCACATTATGCATTTTAACCCGATCAAACATTCGGACATAGATAAATGAAACAAGTTTGGATTGGAAAGTGCCCATAAGGACAATGTAAACACTATTTGGCGCTATTCTTGCAACGGTCGCGACCCAAAACTTTTGAAAATTTCGGAGCGGTTCGGCTTTTTCCGGAATTATATCGCCAAATATTGTTTATTCAAATTTATTATTATTTTCGTTTAATTTTATAAATAAAATACAGTGTGTTGCAATTACAATACAATAAACTTTATTTTATATAAGGACTCATGTATGAAATACCTATGAAACATTGGAAACCGACGTTATACCACGATCCACGATGGTTTTTGCAGTTCAGAGTTCTCAGCACAGCTTTTTAAGTTTTTAATGCCACTTTTTCACAATTATCACCGGTTGGAGTAAATAAAACTTGAATTAAACTCACAAGATAGCAATAATTACTTTGAAAATGGACGCTATAAACACTTTTCGGAATTTCTTTAATGACAGCGGTTTAGATTTTGAAAGATTATTATGATTTTTGAAGATTCTGACTTTGACAAGAGAAAATTATTTCTGTTTTTGTTTGCCGTTGTTCTTAGCGACCGCTATAGCAGCGCCAAATCGCGTATAACGGTCGCGACCCAAAATAATTTCGCGATCCGAATTTTTACGGGCTTTCCAATCTAAACTTGTTGCATTTATCTATGCATTCGGAGGTTGACTACGTACTGTAAAAATCAACTGAGATAGAGAAGGCGACATTGCCACATATCAAATTTGCGCCTATCTACTTAGTTTGATTTGCAGAAAAGGTGACTTTAAAACCTTCACCGGATATCAATAAATCTCAATTTCTTAATTAAATTATTAGTTTATTTTTAAAGAAGCATGCGTAATAATATGTTATTAACCAGAGGATATATGCGTTACTATTAAAGGACATGTTTACTGCTTAATGTGCTGAAACGTCTAGAACTATTGGCAACGTCGCTGCTAGCCTTCCCGAATGAAAATGAGCCGTCCATCCCACCACCCCTCGCGACGGCCATTGGTCCGTTATAGCGTACTACGTTTAGCTTACGGTGTGTTTGAAGTCGGAATCAAGTCCGAAGTGAACTTTTCAGTAGTTTTTGATTTTGTTTAACATACTTTTGAATCTGCGAATTTTCAATATGGTAGGACACTGTCAAATGTGTGGAAAAATAAGTTCAAATTACCCGAATTTGTCTTTTCACAGGTAGGTATTGTTTCCGCCGCGCCCTAATCATACATAAGCGTCCCACAAGGGAGCCTCTCACAATCAAAATAATTTCTAATTATATTTGTTGAATTTTGATCTATTAAAACAAGAACGTAGTAGCCGGTAATTGAATTTTAATTCGTCTCAATTACTACCTAACTGTTGTAGATCATAACAAATTT